TCTCTCTCTCTCTCTCTCTCTTTTTCTCTCTCTCTCTCTCTCTCTCTCTCTCTCTCTCTCTCTCTCTCTCTGTGTGTGTATATATATATATATTATATATATATATATATTATATATATATATAGTTTATATATATATATATATTACTTATATATATATATAACTATATATATATATATATATTTTATATATATTATATATATATATATATATATATATTGTTATATATATATATATGTTATATATATATTATATATATATATATATATATATATATATATATATATATATATATAATATATATATATATATATTATATATTATATTATATAGTTATATATAATGCAAGGTTGCAGAAATAGAGTATGAAGTTTAGGCAGATTCGTTTAGGGGGAACGATTCTCTCCAGAATATCAGAAATGGGCGCTGAGCAGAGTGCAAAGTACCAGAAAATGCAAACAGCATATTACAGCATATAAGCATAAAGCATATTAATTCCACAAACAATGAATATGTAGTAATGACCAAGCTACCACAACATTAGTGATAATGTCAGTTATCACAAACATGCTGTCAGAGTCCAAACAGTTTCGTCGTGGGTGGGTATGACTTGGATATGCCTAGCATGGGGCAGTAGGCCTGCTGCAGTGCTCATTCTTTCTTAGTGTTCCAAAAGTATCTGCCACTTGATTTTAGGAAATTTCCTAATGACAGAAATATTGCACCACCTCAGATCACTACTGGAGTGGAGGCACAGTCAGTGGCCTCCACTCCAGAACAACAGACATTAGTGCCAGCAAACAGTGTCTCACTACATACCATCAATACGACAACATTTGTATTTGCAAATATACAGGGCCTAAAGCCATCAACAAATAACAAAATTCCTTTCATCAGTGGACTGTTCACAGAGTCAAATGCAATTGTTGCGGCTTTTACAGACACACACACAAAGTATCACGTTGACAACGAAATATGGATCTCCGGTTATAACTTATTCGGGTGCAACAGAATAAACAGGCAACAGGAGATGAGGGGTTTGGCCTGTATGTCCGAGTCGCTCATTTGCTCGGAATTACTAAACAACACAAATGATGTAGTTGAAGTTTTTGGCAGTAAAGTTTGAAAACCAAAACCTTGCCATTGTGGGTGTATACAAGCCTCAGGATGCAACTTTTCAACAATTCCAGGAAAAGCTTTTGAAAATTGACTTGTCTGGTAAATTTCTCAACTCCTGCCCCAATCACTCCTGCTGGGCGATTTCAATTGAAGACGCCTAAAATGGAGAAATGTGGCAAATAATGTGTTAGCAGAGATAACCCCAGAAGGTAGCTCAGATGAAAATTCTCACACACATGAGCTATTAAATCTCTGCAACAAATTCATCTTAAGCCAGCAAATAGTTGAACCAGCAAGACTGGAAAATACAGTTGACCTCATCTTCACTAATAATAATGACCAGTATCAAAGACAATACACTAATATCGTAAACATAATAAAAATGCAGACATGTATGAGCAGGGCTCCTAACCAGCATAAGGGTGCCTTCACCAAATTCAACTTTAATAACAAAAACACAGTGGGATCAAATCAACCATGTCCTAAATAAAATAAGCTGGGAAGATATCCTAAACAACACAGAATAGAATCTTTGCTTACAAAGAATTAACTCTGTGGTACTTGGTCTGCTTAAGGCACATTCCTTTAAGAAGAAAGATGTAAGCTAGAGAAGCTTCCTATACAGGCAAAGGCGAAAAATCACAGAGCTGCTGAAAAGGGCCAGTATATCTAAGATATGAAGGGAGGCACTGGTCACAGAAATAGCAAATATTGAACTTAAGTGTAAGGAATCATGCGGGAGACAAGAAACACAGGAAGAACTTAAAGCCATAAATTAAATTAAAAAAAAATTACTTTTCTCATGCTAAATCTAAGGCAAGAACAACATCTAGTATTGGACCCTTGTCAGACGATATGGAACTTATACAGATGACAGCAAAGAAATTAGTGAGATACTGAAGTCTCAATGTGGCTTAGCGTTTAGTGAGCCGTTAACCAGACTAAGGATCCACAATTTAAATGATTTTTTTATGGCCGAAATCTCAAAATCTGGTTAATTCAACATTTTTTTTATATCCTACACCACAAAACTTTAAAAAATAAACAATGACATGTTCATGCACTCTTCTCCAGGTCTCGAACCTTGAAACTCCATATTCATCAAGAACTACAAGAAGCACCTTTTACGTGCCTTAAGTATTCTGTGGAGAGGGAGCATGGACTTAGGGGTCATCCCAGAGTCACTAAAAGCAACAGACATAGCCCCACTCCACAAAGGTGGCAGTTAAGCATTTGCAAAGAATTACAGACCGATAACACTAACGTCCCACATAAAAATATTTGAAAGGGTTCTAAGAAGCAAGATCGCCACCCACTTAGATACCCATCAATTGCACAACCCAGGGCAGCACGGGTTTAGAACAGGTCGCTGCTGCCTGTCCCAACTAGTAGACCACTATGACATGGTTTTGGATGCTCTGGAGGACAAATAAAATGTAGATGCACTATACACAGACTTTGCGAAAGCCTTCGACAAGTGCGGTCATGGTATAATAGCACCCAAAATGCATGATATAGGAATAACAGGAAAAGTTGGTAGATGGATCTATTACTTCCTAACGAATAGAACACAGAGTTATAGTAAACAGAGTAAAGTCAGAAACGGCTACAGTGAAAAGCTCTGTTCCACAAGGTACAGTACTCGCTCTCATCCTGTTCCTTATCCTCAAATCTGATACAGAGATGTAAGCCACAGCACCGTGCCCTCCTTTGCAGATGACACCAGAATTTGCAAGAGTGTCATCCATCGAAGACACTGCAAGTCTCCAAGCAGGCATCAACCAAATCTTTAAATGGGCCACAGTAAAAAGTATGAGGTTCAATGAAGACAAATTTCAATTACTTCAGTATGGAAAACTCGAGGAAAGTAAAACTCTAACAGGGTATAAAACAAATCCCAAACACACAGTATAGCTAAAAACTAAAGCTAAGGACCTGGGAGTGATAATGTCAAAGAATCTCACTTTTAAAGATCACAATGTATCTACCACATCTGCTAGGAAAATGATAGGATGGATAATGAGAACTTTCAAAACTAGGAATGCCAAGCCCGTGATGATTTTCTTCAAATCGTTTGTTCTCTCAGGCAGGCGAAATTGCAGACCTGGAGAATATACAGAAAACTTTCACGGCATGTATAAGTACGATAAAGCACCTAAATTACTGGGAATGGTTGAAGTCCCTTGATTTGTACTCCCTGAAGTGCAGGCGCAAAAGATACATGATAATATACACTTGGGGCTAGTTTCTCTAGGATTTTCCATGTCTGCACACGAAAATCACTCCTTACGAAAGCAAAAGACCTGGTAGGAAATGCAACATCCCCCCAGTGAAAGCAGGGGTGCCATGAGTATGCGGAAACAACAGTGTCAGGGGCCCAGGACTGTTTAACTGCCTCTCAGTGAACTTAAGGGGCTGTCTTCAAGGTGCTGGACAGGCACCTAAAGTCAGTACAGTGGAACCTCTGCTCACGAACGCTTCCGACCATGAACAAATTGGTTCACGACTAAAAAATTTGCCGCATTTTTGCATCCGGTCATGAACACACAATCGGGTGCCGAACAAACACAAACACAAACAGCCGCGCAATTTTTTCGCACGTGCCTCATCGACAAAGCCTGGGAAGGCGTCACATGGGCAAGAGCATGGGTCTTGTAGTCGACGACATCGAGGAACTGCTCGAGGATCACGAGGAAGAACTGACAACGGATGAACTCGCTGAACTCCAGAATGAGCAGCATAAGGTGCTCACTGAGGAGCAGTCATCGGAGGAAGAAGAAAGGAAGGAGATTAAAAGTGATGTGATAAAAGCCGTCATAGAAAAATGGAATGAGTGCCAGGATTTCTTAGATAAGAACTACCCCGACAAAACTGTTACGAACAGTGTTGAAGATGATGAATGATAACGTCTTCTCTCATTTCCATAACGTTTTGATGCGAAGGTAAAGACAACGTCCCTCCGTCGCAGAGGCGGATTCTCCCTCAAAACAGCAACCTCCTCTCCACTTATCTTCCTCCTCACTTCTTTCACGCCAGAAGTCGACTCTTGCAAGGTTAATTTTCTTGGTTGTTTACGGTATGTTTTTTTTTATGTTATTTATGGTTTTCTCTCTATTAAACTGCATTATTTTGTATAATTAAGGATTTTTCAAACTTTATATTTTATGTGCTTATAACTCTTAAAAAAAAAAAAAAAAAAAAAAAACCTGTTTGCAGCTAACGGTTCGTATGGGTCTAGAACGGACTTGTGCAATGTTAGTTTTCTCTGTTGTTCAAGGTTTTAACATTTAGTTTACTATTACACTGTGCATTCTGTGGTATAATTATTTTTTCTGCTTAAAAATCTTAAAAAGACAGTATTTACATACAGTTCATAGGGGTTTGGAACGGATTAATTGTATTTACATACAATCCAATGGGAAAATTAGGTTCGGGTCATGACCAAATCGGGTCGCGACCAGAGTTTTGGAACGAATTATAGTCGTGACCAGAGGTTCCACTATACCTGACCAGCTCATACGTCGGTTTACGTGTGGCCAGCATTAACAGCCTGATTGATCAGGGCCTGATACACCACGATGCCTGGTCACGAACCTGGCCGCAAGGTCATTGACGCCCGAAACCCCCTTCCCCCCTCCAGGTATACTACAAATATCATCGTATTAAAGAAAAGAGTCTAGGGTTCTAGACACATTTTCTTTACTACGACGATAGGAAATTAACCCCCTTAGCATTCCTAGGCTTCGTTTGGAGCCCACATCTGGAAAGGTTTCAGTCTGGACACAAAAACGTGTTGTAATTGCATTTGGTCAACAGAGAAATTCATTGCCATCCTCAAGTAACGAATCAGATAGCCCTAACTACTCCTGTAGGTAAGTGAGATGTGAAGCTGAGTTGTTCCAGGCTTCGGGAGCAGCTGGTTCTCTATCGCTGATAAGCTGGAATGATGGCTGTTTGGCCTCTTAAAAAAGTAAAAGAAAATTATGAAAGATACAGCAAAAGTTAAAATAAAGAAGCACTGTATAACACACTTAAAGCGCATCCAAATCCCTCCAGTATTTATTTATATCTTGGAATATGATAAGGTTGACATAATAAAAATCAAGGATACCAGGGGCATAAGAAACACTGTCAACTTTTGTGCTCCAAGGCTGTTAAGCTTGCTACTGTCTGATATACATATTGCTAGAAAAAGTATAGAAGTCTTCGAGGAAACTGGATCACAGCAGAGTGCCAGGTCAGGCAGACTGTGATGGGTATGTGGGTCAGTGGGCTACTAATAGCAACAACCTGGTCGAACAGGCAGTCAACAGAAAAGTTTGGCTCCAGGTCAGGCTTTGAGAGTAGGAAAACTCTTGAAACTGGTCACAGGTATATCACAGGCCTGTGTGATTATTAGAATGATTTATTATGCAACTATGCAAAATGAAGTACAAATTATACTAGTGAAAATTTACTTAAGATCAGCCCTGTACAATTCATTTATAAAGGTCCACTTGATGTGTTAGTGGAACCATGACCAAGACTCAGTATTTTCCATCCGTCTGTCTAGTTCATTTCCAGACCACCCTGGCCAAGGGACAGGTTCCGGGAGTAGAGAAACTCTGGAAAGTCATCACAGGTCGATCAGAGGTACATAAGGATAGGGTAACATCATCACATCCTCTTTTCTTCTTAAAAAAAATACATGTGAATCTACGATTTTCCTTTGAGCTCTTTAGGTTATTTTTATGCCTGACCCTTCTGTAAATCCCAAAACATAGAGGATTAATCAAACTACTTACTATTCTCATCTTGAAAAATGCCGCATACTGTTCTTAAATACCTACTCTTTTCCTTCTCATTCACTGTTCCAGGTTCAGTCCCTGGTCAATTTCAGTTCTCCAGAGAATACTCCTAGAGCACTCGACCCCCTCCTCTTTCTTGTTCCTAACAGCAGGGGATCCAAAAAATGTTACTTCAAAGATTAGCGAGTGTAGGTTCGCTCAGACCTCCATGGGCCTACCTCGGTGTCACAAAACAAACACCGGGCTACACATCACTCCCATTCCTGAATGACCACCTATATTCAGTAACCAGCCACATTATCTTTCTTCTTGCAATAAAGACCTATTATTTTTAATAGTATATCGCAGTATCTGAAGGCTGCTTTCAGGGGATTAACTCCCCCACGGCCCTGTCCCGTTCCAGGTCTAGTGTCCCCTGGTTGTCTTCAAGAGGGAGCTAGACAGATACCTAAAGACGGTGCCGGATCAGCCGGGCTGTGGTTCGTACGTTGGATTGCGTGCGGCCAGCAGTAACAGCCTCGTTGATCAGGCCCTGATCCACCAGGAGGCCTGGTCGTGGATCGGGCCGCGGGGGCGTTGATCCCTAGAATGCCCTCCAGGTAGACTCCAGGTAGTGGATAGGGGCTTGATCAACCAGGCTGTTACTGCTGACCGCACATTCCCCAGCCCGATTGGTCAGGACCCTATTTGAGTAACTTGTCAAGTTCTTTCTTGAAACCCTGTTGGTAATTTCTTTTTATACGCGAAAAGAGGGCGTGCATTAGTGGGCATTCGAGTTTTCTTGTAGTGCACTTGTCGCGCCCTTGCCTTTTGCCAGGTCTCTTGACAATGTAAACTGCAATATATTAATTACATGGAAGAACAAATTAAACAGAGCACAGAAGCGAGACTCTCCAGCCATAACTCGCTTGGCCACAAAATTAAGTCTTAAATATTTAGAGCACCTCCATCCTTGTTGTACCATCCTTCAGGACTCGGATGAAAGAATGCAACGCGAATACTGAGTTCTCACAATCACGTTGCCCTCAGCGAAATTTTAGCGAAATATTTTAGCGTTAACAGTTTAATGACTATTTTAACTGATTCTGGTTAATTTAACTCTGTGGGCGGTAATTACTTTAACTAGTGCTGGTTATATTAACTCAGTGGAGTGTTTGTTGTAAGTGTATTAGTAGTTATTTTAACTAGCTTTTCTTCACTTGGTATGAGTTATTTTTTCTTGAAATCGTGTTAGTGTGAGTAGTAATGTTGCGTGTGTTTGAGTTGAGGTTTGTTCGTTATGCGTGAGTTCCTGAAGTTCCCTCCTGATCAGCTGGACTCGGGTATTTTCCTTGGCCTGCGAACTGCTAACATGAACAGTCTGATGACCCTGGCTGTTGTACTGCATACATCTAACACGAGATAAGAGGCCTTTGGTCTGCGACCGTGCCGGACCAGCAGTGACCCTCTGGTATCACGTACTGATTACACAGGTCAAAATGAACTTCAAATCTTGCCACGTAATTGTTCAGTTTCCTTACAGCGTGTGGTTAAATGCAAGTCATGAGCACCAAGCTGTTCTGGAATGTTCCTTCACTTTCTTCAAGATTATTGTTCAGTTTTTAAACTTCATATATTTGTTCAGTGGGAGGCGTGCTGAGAATGATTGCTCACTTCCTCCATTGTATTTTTTTCAGAAAGTGATGTTTCGCCTCATTGGTGTCAGTCATCCATGTTATAAGAGAGTGGTGCGCACTCTTGAACTTACAATGAGATTATAACGCAACATTTTAACGAAACATGAAGTGTCATGTTTAACAATAGAAGTAATGCAGCAGCAGTTTTACACCTTATTATAGAACTGCTGCTACACCTGTTTTTATTATCCACAGATGTGCCTTATTATATCTCTGCTTTATATTATTACACAACATCTCACCTTATTAGTATATTCTCAGTGTGACACTTCATATTATTATATTATTGTATATTGTTAAATAACACATCAGATAGCATATTCTTACATAACATTAAAATGCATTATTCTGTAGCACCTCAAGTTATTTTATAATAAATCCTCACATTATTATTACTTAACATCTCACGTTATTGTATTATTATACAATTTCTCGCATTAATATATATTAAGATAAAATTTGAAATTCACGTGTATGTATATTTGATCCGTATTCCCTTAACCGCACTGTATGTATTTTAGCTTCATCTACCTATTAATATACAGAATTTCATACCTTGACCAAAGAAAGTTAGTGCTTTTAAGTTTTTTGTGTATTAAGTCATGTGTTGTGCGCAAAGTTGCAATTGCAAAGGTTGAATCTCAGCTCCTGGCCCTGTCTCGCCTCTTAACCTGTAATCGGATAAGCTGTTTTGATTCTTGGCCTCATGGGCCTCCATCACTTCCTCAGTTAACTCATTTCACTTTCTTACCACCATGAGATTTAAAGAGGTATTTCCCAACGTCCCTCTGACTCATCGGTGTTTTTACCTTCCATCTCTGCCCTCTTGCCCCTCTGCCTCTCATTTCAAACAGTTTGACCCCATTCTCTGTCGAAACTTCTGAGTGTCTTGACGTCATTATCATATTTTTGTACCCCCTGATCTTTCAAGGTGTTGTAGGTTTAGTTCATCTAGTTTCTTTCCGTTGTGTAAGCCTCTCAGTCCTGGGTTCCGTTTGCTATGGCACCTCTGCACCTACTCAAGCTTCTGAACATTCTCAGGAGCTTGAGAAGGGTTCCTTGCTAGCGCTGCAATAACCTATAATGTCAAATCTGTGGTATCTTGAGGGTTTCCTGCTTTATTAAGATCTCTGATGACAGTTTTAATATTTTTAATTCCTTTTGCAACCTATGCTTCGTCACTGGTTTCATCTTTTTCACCCTGCCGAAGTCTTCCCTTGGCTTATGTTTATCTTCTTAAGTTCTTGTTTTCTCATTAGTTTCACATCATTGGTAAACAATATGCAAAAATCGGTCTGCTCTGGCAGGTTACTTAAACACATTAAGAACAATTAAAGCTGGAGTTTCTATTTCCTGGGGAGATCCATAAGATGAATTAGACACGCGTGCGACATCTGGGTATCTTTATTTGTAGACGTTTTGCCATCCAGTGATCTTGAAGACTACGCTGCTCTTCACCAACTCCAGGGCTGATGGACTGATTACATCATCTTTTGTATATAGTTCAACAATTCAGGGCTGTGGAGTCGGCACATAAAACCTTCTACTCCGACTCCTTTATTTATGGCACTCCGACTCCTTTATTTATGGCACTTCCGACTCAGACTCCTTTAATTATATATTGATATAGGGAAAAAATTCTAGATATGCTAATTATATATTTGCTATATGGATTGCAAGCATGCAACATACAAACTCAGTAACCTGTTAAAGCTTGGCTCTAAATGCTATAGCTATGTCATTCTGGCTTTTTTATTTTATTTAATAAAGAAATTACAAACATTCAGTAACCTTATAGTTAAAGGACAGAACTTGAAAAATGGAAACAATGAGGCTATATTTTTATAAAAAGAATATAAAGTACAAGGATGTAAAAGAAAAACTATAAAAACAATCTGAGTCAGAAACATCTTTCTCTCTTAGTTCTCTCTTAGTAATATCCTTAGATATTACTAAAAAAAAATTCGAAGTTAAAACTACAAAAAAGTAAAAAGCATTTGAACACGAATTATGTACTGATTAGGTACTTAACCCTTCCTTTTCCAGATTAAGCTGTTGTTTAATTTATATTCTATACAATTTAAATTTATTAAGAGTCGGAGTCTGTACATTTTTACCGACTCCAGTAACCCAAGAATTGCTTAGACTCCGACTCCACAGCCTTGCTACAATCTTCACATTATGACCTTGTATCGATACCCAGATGTCGCGCACATGTTTATTTCTTCATCTTGTCGGTATTGTATACCATTCATGTACGACAAACCTACAAGGGTTACTTATTTCTTACTGTTTATGCTGTACCCTAAGGCATCTTTCCTTTTTGTAACTTCAGTTCGTTAGGTATTTTTTGATCCATTGGAAAACATTTGCTTATGCATCTGCCTTTTTTTCTAAGTTGTGGATCCATTTTCGGTCTGGTACTGCATTAAATGCTTTCCTCCAGTTTCAGAAATATACATCGTACCCAGCTCTGTCTGTCTGATCTCAATTCTGTAATAAAATTCCAGCAGGTGCG